TGTTTACCTCTCTTGTTGTTTTTTTCCTTTTTTTCCTTTTTTTTTTTTTTTTTGGCTCTCTCACACACACAGACCTTTAAAAATAGTTTCAAGCTTTTAGCCTTGACCTCTTTGTTTAGTATGCCACAGAAATGTTCAGTAGGTGAAAGCCGTGTTGTGTTAGTGCTAATGTCAAATACGTGGAACAGGTAAACCAGCTCTGTAAAGGGAAACTCCTTTTAAAGGGTGTACGTTGTTAATCTTCTTAAACAATTAGTCTGTTTAGGTGAAACGTTTCTGTTGTCAAGATATGTTTCGACTTACTGACTTCACTGATGATGATTTTACACGATGTACTCTCACCTTGCCCAGATTGTTCTGAGAAAACAAGCAGGTATAAGGGTGTTTGTTTTTTTTGTTGTTTTTTTTAGGAATCGTTCACCCATAAATGACAATGCAGTCTTTTTCATTTGAAATTTCACTTTTGGTTTTGATTGATTGCGGTTTATTTATATGGAACTTATGGATTGTGATTTTGACCACCATTTTTATTAGAATTTTCCAAATTGTTGGACAGTCGTAATAACGGTTAATAGGTTCATAACTTTGACTAATTTGATGTGAATAAGAATTTGGTGAAAGTTCATAAGGTTTATAAGTTGTGTGGATACCACGAAAGTTTTCTTTTTTTCTTCCATGCTCTAAATTAGTTGCAAACTGTATTATCTTAAGCCAGTTAAAGTGTGGTCTGTAATAGACTTAGCGCGTGTGTGTGTGTGTGTGTGTGTGTGTATGCCTGCAGGCGAATATGTTTGAGCTGCCCTTCTTTCACTCATCTGTTCCCTTGGGCTGAGTGTGCCTGTAATATCTCACATTTCTTTTTCCACTGACTGTCACCAGCCCTAATAATGACTTAATCTACCTGGAGATCTGAACTCTAGGGAACAGGATATATATTAACATTTAGATTTACAAGATTTATGTTTTTTTATTGAATAAAATTGATTTTTAATTTAGTTAGTTATACATTGCTTATTTGTAAATGTATTTAATAGTTTTCCTTTAATTTGAGTGATTTAGAATCCTCTTAATGTCAGCAGCTCTAAGCTACTGTATGCTGCAGAAAAGCTTCTAGCGGTTATAGGTCAAGTCTTTAGCTCCTCAGGGTCTGACAATTGTTAAAGATGATCTTTAATGTAATCTTATTAAAGGTGGTTTGTTTTCAGTGGGCGGAGATCTGATCTGTGTGATATAAGTAGCTGTTGCTTTTATAAAACAAAGGCTGATATTTCATAATATTTAAATGCTCCATTTTTGCATGCTTTATATTGCATTTGGCTTTATTCCTCCCTGTCTCTCCCTTTTTTCTTGTCTTAGGTTATGAAAAGACAGAAGACACATCAGAAAAGACTTCTCTAGCAGACCAAGAAGATTCC